GTTCTTCAGTAATGTATATTGGAGAGATGAATGAGTAATTAACTCATTGATTATTTCCATCAAGATACTGCAACCTAATAAATTTTCCTTCCCTTTCCTTACCAGTTATTTTTTAGAAAAACAAAACAAAGAAAAACAAAAACCCTCTATCTCTTGAAGAGCACCATAGGCATGCTGGACAATTCTTTATGTTTAATTTTTCATTTTCTAGTCATTGTATAGTGATACTGCCTCGGAAACCCAAGGAGGGGTCGCTATGAGTCGGGGCCGACTCGACGGCACATAACAACAACAACAACAGTCATTGTAGGCGCCACCAATCTTGTCTTTACATTTATATTAACAAAAGAAAAAAGAAAAAAAAAAGGAACAGCACCTAACGACGTACTCTTCAATTAATTCCTACAGTAATTATATCATATTTTCTTTTATGACTTATGTTCTGCCAGCCTCTTTAGAATACGTAAAATATGAGAAAGATATGGCTTTCAAATTCTACTACTATTCTAACTACAAGAATATTTACTTATAAATTTAATTGGACATACAGTATAATAGTTAAGTAAGCAAATAAAAAAGGAAACTGAAATTACTTGTGCTATCAAATTCTACTCAGTAGATACCCTTCACTCCACTCACTTGACTGAAAAAGAGAGAATCTCCTTTGGTCTTCCTTCCAGGGCCACAAACATAGTGTGTGTTTGTGTAAGCACATATACACATATGAATGTATACACCAAATTAGAATATTATTCACCAAAATGTTAATAATATTCATTCTCATTTGAGATTATAGGTGATTTATATTACCATATATATACATGTATATATGTGTGTGTGTGTGTGTATATATATATATATATATATATATATATAATTTCTTTGATTTCTATACTGAACCTATATCACATTTGTAATCAGAGGGAACATAGGATTATTTTCTAAGGAAAAATCTCAATCTAAGTTGAAGATCTTTATGGCAATTACAGAGAAGAGCTAAAATTACTTCTGAAAAATCTCCCTTAGGTACAGAGACAGTCTTGATGGAGAAGTTGTGCAAAGCTAGAAACTAAACATAATGAAGTAGACATCTACTGCTGTTCATTCTGATCTAGCAAGACAAGAGAAGGAAACAAAGGGAGCATAAGGAAGGGGTCTGATGAAGTATGCTGCCCTCATGGAAGACAGAGCTCCCCAAATGGAAAAGTTAGAGATGAATACCCAGTGAAACTTAAGGACATTTGCTATAAGCTGAGACTGGACAGTAGACACCTGGCCCCTGTAAATCTCTGTTTGCCCTGAAATTGAGAGTCTTCCCTTTATGAACTTATCCATTATTCATGTGGTTTACTTGACTAATATTCAGTGCAGTGTTAGTTTCTGAAACACCCAGCAGTCAGTAGATAAAGCATTTCTGCTACTGTTATCCAAGTTCCTAATGAAGCTCTTGAGACAACTCTCAGGTTCTATCTTTCTTAACTCTTTAAGATTCTCAAAGGGAAGTTCTCTGGAGACTTATGGCAGAGGGATTGGCTACTCCTTGGGGAAAATAAGTATCCAAAGCTCCTGAAATCTGGAGTTTAAGAGACTGCATTTTCTCCTGGGTTGTTTCCCTGCCACAAGAACCAACACTTTCAGACCCAAGAAACATAGCAATCATCTGAAGTTCTCTCTCTGACACTGGAGACAGCTCGATTCTCCTTACTTGGGAGATAGGGAGGGGCTTTATTTTCCTTTGTAAATGCCTCTCTGACACAAGGTTTTTCCATCTGCTTCGTTCAAATAGACTCAGCCCCATGAATGCCTGTTAAAGTTCACTATCTGGAAATATTTCCTTCTCCTTCCTACTGCCAATATCAGAAGTGATTGGCTGATGGCAGAAGTAAATTAATATGACAGTTTCCCAAATCCTACTATTCTCCCTGTATGGTTTTAGTATTTGGTTGGTGATATTGCTTTTCATGCCCATTAATATTATATTTCTTCATGCTCATCTTGCTGTGGTAATAAATTCAAGGCATGAAATTTAGCAGAGACATGATAATGGTCTTCAAATATCGGAAATACTACCATGTTGAAGAGGAAATAGAAAGTGAAATTGTGTGGAAGGTGGTGAGTTACAAGGAGATAGAGACTGAGTCAATACGAAGTAGCATTCTCTAAGAACTAAAACCGTTCAAAACAGGGATGGATGATAGTACATCTATATATTGTAATAGTATTCTCTGTTGGAATTGAAAGGAGTAGAGAGATAGATATCCAGTACTAATCTATAGATAGATCTATATTACTATTATGAGAAATGTTCAAGATAGAATATTAAATGAAAAAAAAAGCTAGCTCTGGATTAGTATGTGGAGTCTATCTACTTGTGCAAAATTGAAAAAAGATATGGAAATACATATGGTTGCACATAGAAAATTTCTGAACCGAAATAAAAAAAATAAAATACAAAGAATTATTTTGGCCAGAGAATGTGAAGTAGAGGTAGAGATAATTAACATTTCCACTTATAACGTTTTATACAGACTTTTTTTTCCCCATAAACACATATTACTTTTATACTTTAAAAATCCTAATTTTATTTTTAAGTAAACTTCTCATTGCCATTGAGTCGATTCCAACTCAGAGCAACTCCATTGGGTTTCCAAGGCTATAAATCTTTACAGAAGCAGATAGCCTCATCTTTCTTCCACAGAGCACCTGGGCTGGTGGGTATCTTTTTTTTTTTAAAAAAAAAAAAGACTAATGCTACTTTATAAGATAGTGAATTTCCAATGACTGGTAGCACTGAAGCACAATTTGAAGGATCATTTCTGAGAAATGCTGTGCTTTTAAAATTACCTCCTAACTCTAAGGATCTATGATTTGGTAATATCCCCAGGACTTAAAACTACCAAATACTTGAGTTTTCCTAGTTAACTATCAATTGGAGAGACTTGAATCATAAAGTGAACAAGATTAACCCCTTGCTCAGCATTGATTGTCAGGCTTAGGCATATAATCATTTCTCTAGAAGACATTTTTAATTTTTCTAAGGGGCAAGGAACAGAGATTTTTGCTTAATGGTCTAGAATCCAGAAGAACAAAAGCTACTATAAAATGTCTCTTTTCCCTTTGACATGGATTCCACAGAAGGAGACAGCCATTTTGCATAACTACCATGGTTCTGCTCGACAAGTGTTACCACACTCAGCACGTCTTTGTTATACTGAGGGGTCATAAATTTCATGAAGATAAGAAAGAGGTATAGGATTGCAGGTTTGCACAAGTTCAAGTCAATCTTTTCTATAACCTAGACTTTTTTTTTCCTTTCTTTTTAGTGTAGGTAAGATTGAATTCCCACTTACATAAGGTCCAAGTTTTATCTTATTTAGTAATACATAGTAAATTTAGATAAACAAAAGTGGTGAAAGACACTAGTCCATCCTTACATCTCCAAGGAAAATTATCTATGTACAATATTTTCCTATATCATTAAATACTTTCTAGATTTGTAATGGCTGCACGGTTCCCATCAGATTGATGTTATAACTTAATTAATCATTTCCTTATTCATTTACATTATTTCCAGTATCACTATTATAAGTAACATTATATATATACATCTATGTATATATATATATGATTATTTCCTTAAAATAAAATTATTAGAAGTGGAAATATTAAGGGAAAGTGAATGCACGTGGGTTGTCACAGACACACTGATAGTCTCATCTACTTATTTGATGCTAAAAAAATTCAGATATAATTTGTTTTCCCAATCTCATTTCTGTATTGAAGAAAATGCATTGATCCTTTTAAATAAAAATGGAAAAAAAAGAACATTTTTTGTTTCTGTTCTCTTTGGAGATCATGATGCTTATGAAGCAGTTGCAATATAGGACAAATAACACTTGTCTTAGAATTAAAATATTTAGTTCATTGCTTATTAATTTGGGCAGACCACTTAACCTATGAGTTTTAGATTTTTTATCTGTAAGATAAGAATAATAATTACTATGAAAGATTCTTATGATATTAAGTAATACATGTCAAAGCTAAAAGGTGCTTGGTTGGTATAAAGAATTATTATTATTATTATTAATCTCTTTTTGAAGATTAGACCTTTCTGATCCCAATAACTCCTTAGATAGGGAATAGACAGAAAGATATACAAAGACACCCAGTTTAGAATTCTGAAGTATAGAAAGAGAGAGTCTAGTAGTGAATTAGACTACTTGTGAAAATTTACATCTAAGCACAGGCTAGAAAAGGCATAGAAATTCACACAATTTAAGAGGACAAATTACTGAGTAACATTTAGTACTTGAATTAACAATATACGGGTTGGATCGATAGGTTATATGTAGCCATCAGAAGACTTACTAAGGAAGAGGAGAGGAATCAAGCACTAAAGAAAGGGAGGAATATGCCTTGTTTTTATTGTTGTTTTGTTTTAAAAAACAGGTAGAGGTGGCACAAGGGATAGTTAGAGTTGCAGGTGTTCAAGTTTGTGAAAAGAGTCCATGAAAGTTGCAAACAAGTGTAACAGGGAGAAACCAAACACTTATGTGTGGTTGGTGCAGAGAACACCGTCTTGTTTAACAACCAAGAAAGAGGGATCTTTAAGATGACCAAAATGATGGCAGGGATTGACAAACATGTTTTAGGTAAACTAAATCTGGGACTATGTGAGAAAATTCTTTTCAAATTTAGGTATACATTTCTCAGTTCTTTAGCCTCAGTTTTCCCCTAATATCTGTGTACTAAGTCACCAGGAAACCTGTTCCTAGCTTTTCCCAGGCTCTTTGTTTCTATTCTCCACGCTTGAAATCATTTTCTGATTGTGTTTTTCCTTTACCTACAGGCGAACAGCTAGCTTCATTAATCTGGCGTCTATTCACCTGCAGATCGTGATCATCTCTTTCTGTTATAGTTTTCCTACTTAGAGCACCGAGTGCTAAAGTGTTCTCAATGACTGACCTAGGTCTCCATCTTTCAGATCTGGAATTTACTCAATGAAGAGAGAAAACTACACATTGGTGAGTGAGTTTGTTTTCCAGGGTTTCTCCAGCTTCCATGAACACAAGCTCAGCCTCTTTGTGGTATTTTTTGCCTTGTACCTTTTAACTCTGGCTGGCAATGTCATCATTGTGGTGATCATCAGCATTGATCATCACCTTCACACCCCCATGTACTTTTTCTTTAGTATGTTATCCATTCAGAAACCATGTATACACTAGTTATTGTACCACGCATGCTCTCTAGCCTCATAGGCCCAAGCCAACCCATTTCCTTGGCTGGCTGCGCCACCCAGATGTTCTTTTTTATCACTTTGGCCATCAACAACTGCTTTCTGCTTACAGCAATGGGGTATGACCAGTATGTAGCTATTTGCAACCCCTTGAGGTACACAGTCATCATGAATAAGAGAGTGTGTGCCCAACTAGTGTGGGGTACCTATAGTATCGGGCTGCTTGTGGCCATAATTCAGATTTCCTTTGTGTTCAGACTGCCCTTTTGTGACAGAGAAGTGGCTCATTATTTCTGTGACATTCGCCCAGTGATGAAACTGTCCTGTGATGACACTGCTCTACATGATATAATTAACTTCATTGTCAGTTCACTGGTTATTGTGGTACCCATGGGTTTGGTCTTCATTTCATACATTCTCATCATCTCTGCTATCCTCAAGATTGCTTCTGCTGAGGGCCGGAAGAAGGCTTTTGTAACTTGTGTCTCCCACCTCACAGTGGTCATTATCCACTACGGCTGTGCCTCCATTGCCTACCTCAAACCCAAATCAGAAAACACAAAGGATCAGGACCAACTGATATCAGTGACTTATACAGTTTTTACTCCACTCCTTAATCCTGTCATGTACACTCTGAGGAACAAAGAGGTTAAGGATGCCCTTAACCATGCTATTGGCAAAAAACTTCTTGCTTAGGATCTTTGGTAGCTTGACATATGTCTTTTCATAGTCTGGGGATTTCTCTCCTGATGCATAAAAATTTGATCATATCATTTCTACTTTATGCAGAGAAAGTTTCAAAATCTGCTGATGAGGCTTCATTAAAGAATAGAATTTCTTTGACTTGACTCTTAAATAGAAATGAACAAACAAACCATTGTTCTCCTATATCTTCTCCTATTATCATTAGGTTACTGTCAGAGGAATGAAGATACTGCTCACAAGGTGGACAGCTGGGAGAGAAACATAAGCAAGGGCATTGATTGTTATTGGTTTGTTGATAACAAAAGAAACTGGGTTTCTTAACATCTATTTGAAGTGATAGGTTGAAAGAGCAGCCTAAATGTCAGATATTTTCTGAGGTCTAAAACTTCAATACATCTGGATACACCACATGTATTGGAAATACAGTTGAAACTACCTTCCTCCCGTATCACCACTTTCTCTTTTAGGCAGTGACTAGAGTAACAGACCCCTGATATTGAAAAAAAAAAAAAAAAGTTATCAGCTTTGAGATTCTCAGTTGTCTTGAAGATCCGTGAAATGCTGTTTTTTGCAATGTTGTTGAAGTTCACATTAAAACTGCACCCTCAATGAGTCTTGACTATATGCTCACATGATGAGTAAGCAAAGTGGTCACATCCAATAACTGAATTTTGTTGCAGTTAAAAATGCTTTCTGTTGGGAGCACATATGCTACACTGTATTCACAAGCATAAAGATATCTGAAGACCTTTTCACAATTAAATTTTAATCCCACATCCCTACTAATCTTATTGTCTCAGATTCCATGCTTTTCCTTGTTTTCTACGTAGCACTTCACTTGTTAGCTGTTTCTTGCCTTTACCCGCTTCATCAGTACATTGATGAGCTCATTTTCTGTAAACAGTTGGGTGCCTATTTTAAACCTTAAGTTTAAACATTTGTCTAAACCAGAGTCTGGGAGTCCTCTAACTCTCCTAATTTTATTGTTTTCCTAAAAGAAAGATTATCTCAATTTGTAGGAAAGTTTTAAAAAGTTAGGATTTGGCCTGGAGAAAGAAGTAGGCAGAAATTGCCAAATGTCTTTCAGTCCATAAAGGATTGTTGTAAAAAGAAATCAATCCATATCTCCCACTCATCACTCTACTCTCACTAAGGACAGTCCCAAATGTCCCCTACTGAAGATGCATTGAAAGTGCAGGTCCAAAAATGGACTTAGGAATCCCTGATGCTGGAAGGACCAAGAAGGAAGTACATGTTTTTGGAGACATAGCCCCTCTGAAGGTGGGTGTGAAGAGGAGCCTCCAGGGAAACTTAACTGTGTCTCTATCTGGGATTCCTTAGTTCTTTCTGGGTTAAGTACAAGGGAAACACTCTCACAACCCTGCTTCTTAGAAGTGCTAATGTCTGGACTCTCTTTCAGGATCCTGCTCACTTAGTCCTTCCCTCCAGTACCCATGGCATTGTTAGAGATTGTTGAGTTTGAGTACAAAGAACCCCCATAGGACCTCCTCACAGCTATATAGGTCTCTATAAAATTGGAATCCAATATGGAAAGCTGTGTGTTTTCTTGAGTCCCTATAGTGTGATGCTGCAGAGAATTATGGTACAATTTACTTGAAGGACTTTTTGCAATAATACAATAACTAATATATGGTGAAGACCTACCTATCCAATGTCTTCTTTATGTAGTTTATCATCATAACAGAGCCAGGAAACATAAAACCAATGTATGTAATTTCAAAGGGCATTTATAAGTGATTATCACTAAACACTAATCATGTCTGAAAAGAGCAAAGCTCAAACCCACATCTTAGGCATAATCACCAAATAGCCACAGTCTTCATAATGTGTTGCTGTTGTTATGTGCTGTTGAGTCGGACCCTACTCATAGTGACCCCTCCTTGGGTTTCCAAGGCAGTAAGTCGGGTCAGACTGGATGGCACATAACTACAACAACAACATCACCACGGAAGTAGATTGCCCCATCTTCCTTCTGAGGAGTGGCTGGTGGGTTTGAACTGCCAGGCTTCTGGTTAGCAGTCAAGTGCCTTAGGCACTACGCTACCAGAGCTCCTAAAAGAGACACCCTGCTACTTGGCAGGGAGCAGCTGGTGGGTTTGAACCACCAGCCTTGGGTGTGGCAGATGATTGCCTGAGGCCCTATGGCCATCCCCTAGGGCCGTTCATAATGTAGACCCTGCCACTGTAACATAAGACACACATCTCCTTTAGGGGGAGCACATGGTCCCACAAAGACACATCCTGTATCTCCCCAACCAAAGATAGTTTTACATCAAATATTCCTCCAAAGGAAAACTGCTCTTGTCTGAGGATAATCTAGGCCTCTGCCCCAACAGAGTATCCCTTTGTCAGATCCTTCCTCCCCACTGGTTTCTCATCAGCCCAGAGTTCAGCAATCCCTGAGGCGGACTCCCAGACATGGATTGGAACATAAGGTGACTAAGGTACCTTGAAAGTGGCTTCAGCATTCTCAATGTACAGAATGCACTTTCTATTTTGTTCACAAAGAGAAGCTCATTTGCCTGGGACCAAGTGTTATAGAAGAGGCTGTAAGGATAGGTGAAGTCTGTGAAGGTCTTCAGGCACAATGTGAATTGCTGCAGTGGCTTCTTCACCACAGGGATCAGGGACACATAGGCTATGTCTGATTCTTAAGGGGAAAATAAACATCCCTTTCAGGTCTGTGGAGAAGAGACTATGCGATAAAAATTTGGTTAACTCTCTTGTTTGCTTATCTCTCACTGGGGAACATATGCTACCTCCTGGCAGAGAAAATATAAAGCACACTGGAGTCTACAAAGTGTCTTTGAGCACATTAGCTCAGTTACTGTATAAGCAAAATGTTAGTGCTAAAAGACAAGGTTTAGTTTATTTGTCCTATCAAAAAGAGGAATTAAAGATATCATCTTATATCAACTGTTGAACTCCTGGGTGGCAGAAACGGTTAAGCACTGGGTTTCGGAAAGTTCACAGCCATGAAAAGCCTTTGGAGCACAATTCTGTTCTGAAACACATGGGGTCACCATGAGTTGGAATCAACTCAACAGCAACTTTTGTTATAATTTTATATCAACTGTTGTACTTCCCCAAAATATGCACTGGAATTCTAACTCCATACCTATGGATGTAATACCATTTGGGAACAGAGTTTTCATTGTTATGTTAATTAGGCCATACCAGTGCAGTTGTTGTTATGTGCTGTCAAGTTGGAGCCCAACTCATAGCGACCCCTCCTTAGATTGCCGCATCTTTCTTCTGAGAGTGTGTCCTAAAACTAATCACATCTGAGATATAAACAGAGCAGATTAGTAGAAGCAAGCATATACTAAGGAAGACAGATGCAATCAAGAAATGCCTGGGCTACTAAAAAGGAAAGAATTGACTTGGCCAAGACCCTAATTTGGACTTTCAGCCTCCAGAACTTTGAGAAAATAAAATTCTGTTATTTAAAGCCCCCTGCTTGTGCTGTAGCAGCACTAGCTAGCTAAGACATCAACTCTCCCTATCTTCCTTGCAGACTTCATCCCAATAGGAAACACCCATTATAGAAAATGAAACATGGCTAATTTGTTGAATGTAATGGATAAAAAATGTACATCTCGTATCATCTCTCCCACAGACACACTAGTCAGACTGGACTTTCTTCTATGGGATACTAGCGATTAGAATTACCAAACAAAAACCACTGTTGTAGAGTCTATTCTATTCATAGCGACTCCTCCTTGGGTTTCCCAGGGAGTATCTCTATGGAAGTAGATTGCCCAATCTTCCTTCTGAGGAGTGGGAACAGCCAGCCTTCCAGTCAAATGCCTTAGGCAGTAGGCCATAGAATTACATATAATTAAAATGTCTCTTCTTGAACAATGGCTTGGCTGCTCTAGACCACTACCAACCCTCATTGTTAGTACAGTCTCGGGTGAAGAGCGGTGTGCAGACCACATTGCCCAGACGGTTATAGTGCCTCACTTCCCTCTCCACTCCCTTTCTGCAGCTTTCGTGTGTGTCGGTTCTGAGCCAATCTCCCATTGTTTGTCTCCCCACGGAAAAAAAAACATCAGGATCTTGGAATTACTAAGCACTGAATTATTTCCTCATAAAACCCACAAGAAAATAGAAGGCTTTAATCATTATAAGATCCACCCCTCCCCCCTTTTTTTCTTGCTTAGGAAAGCAAATTTAACAAAAACTAAAGGTCTGGAAAATAGAGAATAATGACAAATTGAATCAAGGGAGACATAGTCTGGAAGCACTATGAAGTCTTGAATTGAGTTAGTTTTGCTTAATAGTAGGAAATGGAAAAAACAGCATGAATTCCTATTTCCTTAGATACCAGGGTTTTTCAAGAAATATTCACCCTAGATGAAGAATAGGAACAGAACACCTAGGGAGAGGAAACTAGGAAAAGATTAGAGATTCCAATAGCAAGAGAGAGAGAACTTTGTCCAGAAAAACTTGCATTAGAAAGATGGGAAGGTGAACCATTCATTTTACCCTGTGATTTTATTATTTCCCTGTGTTTAATTTGTAATTCTGACAGTATACAAACCTGGACCAAAATAGCATGTTTAGCCAGAAAGTGAGGCTTTGAATAACTTATTACTGAGAGTGATGTGATAGAGAAATGGATATGTCAAACTTGGGAAGATAAAGTTTCACTTAGTTGCAGTAAAAGGGAAAAAAAATGGGGAAGGGGAAGTTGGTGGATTGCCAAAACATTTAAGCCTTTTTTTACTGCTAATAAAAATTGACTTTTATAGTTTACACACCACAAGTATGTTTATCCTTTAACTGATTTCCCTCAGTCTTCCTAACAACTCTTTACAAGATAGATCTTATCTTTCTCCCCATTTTAAAGATGAGGAAGCTAAGGCTCAGACAAGTTGAGCAATTTCACAAAGCTAATTCAATTAGTTTGGCAGAAACTTGTATTCTAAATTTAAATCCAATTTAAATCCAATTTAAATTTAAAT